TTCGATTGCCGGATCGAGAACAAAAATCAAGTTTAATGCGAATATTAAAGATTTTCTGTGAATCGGTTCAAAACCAGGTATTATCGTTGAAAAACATGATTTCATTATTATTTTTACTTACGATAATGATTTTAAAGCAATGCCCTCAACAAATTATTTTGGCAAGGCATCTGATATTAGACAATATAGTCGTCGTAGCCTAAAAGATAAGATACTCAAAATAATATCGTATACTTAACTCCGGCTCTTCAATTAACTCGTTCACATGAAAAAAACCTATGTCCAAAAATACTCTCAAACTAGTAGATTCGCATGTTCCAAATAAATAGAATCTCCAACAATCAATTTGCAATTGCCTCTGCGGAAGGATTTGAAGGATTTGAAGGATTGTCGAATGATGATAAAGCCCACTGAACGGAATCCCACGACCAAGAAGAAAGCTTTTGAACGACTTAGTGCACAATCTTTCTTTACATCTCATCCTTCCTTCTAATTTATAACGCAAAAAGTCCCCTTAAAAGAAATTATATTATTGTTCATGCAAACAACTTAATATATCAAATTATTTTCGTCGTAAGGTCGTAGCGTAGCATCGTAAGGAGTGTTGCTTTCGCGCACACAGTCTCAAATTTTTTCAGTGTACGGTTATCGAATCTCTGCAAGCTGTCTAAATGATGATGATGATGATATGACAATATCAATTTCCATTATAATCTCAGGTACTAAACGTGCATCTTCTGATAAATTAAGCAAGCAGACTATTATATCAAGAATTATAATAATCATTATTATAGTAGTTAATAATCCTGTTCACTTATTCCGATTAGATTCGATTTCCAGTTCTGAGTAACCTTTTTTCTTGTATGTGTTTGCAGGACCCATAACTATGTACATTTTTTTCTTTTTCTTGTACCAATTCCCAATAGTACGTTTCATATTATCAAACAAGTTATTTTTCTATGAAAAATACAAAGGAAGAATACAACTTACTGGAGTACACGCTTTATGAAAGAATCTACACGGAATATTCAAAGTTCACCGAACCTTGAACAGTAAATTATACTGCTTTACAAATTATTTCAGCAAAGGAAATCATAAACAAACGTCTGGAGCTTTAATAATTTAGAGGTCATGTCTTTTGAAATGCACTTAATTTCGAAGAGACTGCATTAAAGCAGACAAATGGAACTAAATTAGTCATATTCTTACTGATGCAACAGTGAATCGGTGATGAGAAAATAGATTAAAGGCATCACGAGTATTACGTTGATCTGGTAAGAGGATTTTAAAATATTCACTTCCCATTATATGATTTTGTAATCATGGAAATTTTTATCTTCGACATGCTATTGTGAGGCCTTCGCTCAATACCTACTAATAAGCCCGTTGAAATGAAAAATATCGGTTTATAAAAGATGTCGTACGTTGATAATAGCCATGACAATAATCTTCCATGATGTACCCGATACGACTGTACAAAGTTTTAACTCGACGTGATCAAAGACACGAATTTTTTTAATGGTCAATTAGATTTAAATTTAAAATATCTTTTTCAAGAGCTAGTCAAAATCCGAAAATAATTAATACTAATTATACGTAAAAGTAGTATTGATTATGCCTATTACTCGCGAAAAACAAATAAAATGCTAATAGCCAGAGCTTAAACAGTACGTTGTGTTGCTTAATTGGAGAATTTGTAATCCCCCAGTCGGCTCTTTTATTTAGTTATCAAAGAGAACCATAGTGAACACATTAATTTGCAAGTGGGCGAAAAGACCAAGCTATTTATAATTCGATATACACTTTTGGACCAAATACCAAAATTAACCTGTCACCTTATTCATGCAAATTTCTCACCGCAGCCCCGATGACTCGTCAATTTCTACGATGTAGGCTTATCTCCATAATGTCAAGGTGTAAGGGGGTTGCGACACCCTTTAAAGGGGTAGCTATGGTATATTGAGCTGTACTAAAGGACATTTAATAGAGAATCTATTCTCGGGTAAATTTCACGATGCTTTGCCACCATTGTTTGTTCATTTTTGCTTCATTGAATAACAAAGAATGTAGAGAGTAGCGAGTTAATTTATTTTAAATTAGCTTGCAGTAATTTTTTCAGCAGCCAGCTATATAAAAAATCTACATAGTAATCTTCTTCTATATATATAAAAATTAATTGCTGTTCGTTAGTCTCGAGAACGGCTGGACCGATTTGGCTAATTTTGGTCTTGAATTATTTGTGGAAGTCCAGAAAAGGTTTAGAAGGTAGATAATTAAGAAAATGCTCGGAATTAAAAAAAAATAACAATTTTGTTCTTCCTTTGATGCCCCCCCCCCCTCCTTGTCGGACGGATTATTTTGTTTGTTTTAAGTTTATTTTACACAAAAGTTTTGGTATTTTATTTATCGATTGAGGTGTTACAAAGTCTGCCGGGTCAGCTAGTACTAATATATAAATTTACAGTGGTTATTACGGATGTTCCGTTATAACTACTGAACCGTGCATCCGATTGACTTGAAACTCGGTATCCATGTAGAAAACACATGTACTTAATGGATAGGCTAATATTTTATATGAGTGTTGGACTCCCTACACCAGTTGCAGGGACGTTAATGATGAGAATCTTTGTGGGGCTGAGAAATAATAATGTTAATTTTAAATGCCCAGCGAAGCGGACGGGTACAGCTAGTATTAGATAAAAACTTCAGATTCATCGCTAAGACAAAATTGTCTTTGCTGTTGTCGTTGTAAGAAACCGAATCACGAAAAAACAAATATGCCCTTGAATATTTCTAGTAATTTTTAATGTCTTAGACAGGTGAATGGGCTCAAGGTCCACCTGATGCTAAGTGTTTACCGGAACCTATAAGCTTCAACAACGTAAATTCTGAAATAGGTAAGGTGGTAGTAACTACTCGTAAGGCCTCACAAGATGCTCTATCATAAGTAAAAAGTGATGATTAGACGCCCTCAAAGGCGTATATCTGCCATATTAATACGTTAATGAACGGCATAATCACCATTGCAAAATCACCGGGCTAAAAAAACTGGCACCAGTCTTATTGGTCGTTTTATAGTATTATATTTAATACTATAAAATACATACCCCTGTACAAATATATACCCTCACCAAACTATGTCTGATTATAAATCTTCAAACAATTCTGAAGCGATTCCCCAGAATTCCACCCTCGCCACTTAATCTTTATGCATTATTTTTCACCAGCTTAAAATGATCCCTAGAAATTTCCGACAATGGATACATATAACCTATATAATATGCACTCTACCCTGATTTTATGATTGCAAACATGAGTATTACCGTAACAAGTGCAATTGCGTATTTTGAAAAAGACCGGATACTTTCCATTGTTTTAAAACAATGTGGCCTCAACAGTTGGTACTAGAACGAAAGAGAAATTAAATTACACAAACTTAACTTGAAGTTTATTGAAAAGAATTGTGAACCTTTTTTTAAGTTAACGAGAAATATTTTAAGCAGTAAATATGTAAAAACTTATACGAAACGAAACAAAACAAGTATTTTCTCTACTTCAAGCTGAAAATGAATTTTTTTTATTGCTTAAATGGGTGGACGAGCTCACAGCCCACCTGGTGTTAAGTGGTTACTGGAGCCCATAGACATCCACAACGTAAATGCGCCACCCACCTTGAGATACAAGTTCTAAGGTCTCAAGTATAGTTACATTATGTCACAATTAATTATGAAGGTTATTTTCTGCAATTAAGCCGTAGACTATTGGCTGCATATGAGTAATAATAAGCAGCTCATATATAAACAGATGATCTGATGCAAAAGATTGACGTTAAGAATCATTTGACCAATGCCAAAGTCTCTAAAAATAAGGATCAGTATTTAGAGTCAACATTTCTGATCACGTATTGCGTGCTGCTTGAAACCTAGCTTGTGATTTCTTTGCATGAGGTTGTGCACCAGTAGGTCTATATTTGTCTAGATATTTGTATGTATAAATAAGTCACATTTTGGGTTTAGTACAAAAAAAAACCGTTTCACCTCTAATTGTAGTAAAGACGTAGAGGAGTCGGTGAACCTTATTATTTGTGATAATCCAAGGAGTGACTGAAATTGTATAAAGCAATTGCTGGAATATTTTTTGAATAAATTGAGTTCACGGCCCGTCTATTGTTACCGAAGCTTATAGATACTAAAACGTGAATGTCAACACCCACCCATCCACAATTTTAAATATTTTAAGCTAAACTTAGAATTTTAACAGCAACACCACTTCGCACCTTTGTAATTTACGCATTGTACATTACGCATATATGCCGTAGAACTGACGATCGCTGGAGCAGACGGGTTCGCAAGTGGAGACCGCGTAGCGGAAGACGTAACGTGGGACGCCCCCTGGCTGGGTGGTGCGATGACCTCCGGATGGTAGTCGCCAAGAAGTGGATGAGAAGAGCCAAAGACCGGGCTCAGTGATGTGGATTGGGAGAGGCCTATGTCCAGCAGTGGACGACTGTGGGCTGTTGATGATAATGATGGTGATGATGATGATGATGATGATGATGATGACTTTACGCATATAATTATATGGAATATTCTAAAAGTGGTTAAACGATAATCAAGGACTTAATTGCGTTTTAGCCAAATTTTCCACAAATTAATTTACACAGTATTCTTGAATTAAATAAAACTGAACTCGTCTTTTTTCTCAATGAGGGAGATTCAGTCAAACTCTATAAGAAAAATCTTTTTCAAAAAAAACTAAAAAGTTTTATATGAAAACTAGCTGTCCCGGCAAACATTGTTTTGCCATATATAAGATTTCTAGGGAATTTCTAGTGTAGAAAAAAACTAAATTGTAAGTATGTAAGGATGTGGTAAATGAGTGAAAGAGGCATGTAGCGCTGTGAACGTTGAGGGAATATATAATAAAAATAACAAAACCTCATTCAACCACATAATACCTCATTATAACAAAAAAAAGTCCAAATAAAAAAAATATGTTAGGGGTGGACAACCCTCGGCTCGTCAGCCGGCATCTGTCCCTCCGTCCGACTCCTCGGAAGGAGAGCCTACCAGCGCCAAGTACTTGGCGTTGGCGGAAGGGCCGGCGACTGCTGCGGCGTCGCCCGCCACCGGCTTTGACAAAAGAGCATCTTGCGGACTGGATGCTGCCTCCTCGGCGCAGTCCAGGGCCGCCTGCCGTGAGGCACATAAACGGTTGGCAACGGTTGGAGAGGTCGAGCGACTGGAGCGCTCCCTGACAGAGGTGGGTCCCTATGACCCCCTCCGTAGATATGGCATCAGCCAAAAAATTGTTTCTACGGTGGCGACGAAGTCGAGTGCAGGCCTAAAGGGCGACTATGTGCGGGCCCTAAAATCGGCCGCCTCCTCCATGGAGGAAGTAATGGTGGAGGTGTTGGAGCGCACCAAGGATGGGGAGACGGAAGGTCTGCGCAAATCGGTGGACCTGCTGCACGCCCGACTGGCCCAAATCAGCGCGGAGAACGGTCATCTTCGCGCTGAGAACGGGCAGATGAAGGTGGACTTGGCCGAGTTGCGCACACTGGTCAACGACCTAATCGAGAAGCAGTGCAACTCGGCCCCTGTACCTACTCCGCTCGAGACCGAAGAGGCCAATGAGGCCGAGGAGCTGAGGCCTGCAGCTCCTAATACAGGAGGCACGTAGCTCCAACGTGGAGCGCGCGAGACCGCCCCTCGCCCATGAAGCGAAAAGCAGTGCGCCTGTGCCGGCGCCCCGCAGGAAGGTGCAGCCCAGCCAGAAGATAAAAACAACACCCGCGCGAACTTCCGCTGCGGCTAGACCTACACCTGCGGCTGCGGGGGTGCCGGCACCCACGGCCCCTACAANAGATACATTTTTGTGAGAAAAGTGTAAAAACGAATGCAGTTGTGTATCAAAATACAGTCCTGACGAACCTTGTGGAACCTGTTTCTCATACCATGTTCAATAACAGGCACTGGGTATTCCAACAAGATTCCGCGCTAGCTCATAGAGCGAAGAGCACACAAGACTGGCTGGCGGCGCGTGAAATCGACTTCATCCGGCACGAAGACTGGCCCTCCTCCAGTCCAGATTTGAATCAGTTATACAAGATATGGCAACACTTGGAGGAAAAGGCGTGCTCAAAGCCTCATCAAAATTTAGAGTCACTCAAGACATTGACTTGATTAAGGCAGCCGCCGATATTGAAATGGACCTCGTTCGTGCTGCGATAGACGACTGGCCGCACAGATTGAAGGCCTGTATTCAAAAGCACGGAGGAGATTTAGAATAAACTTTAGTGTCATAAGAATCTATGTTTTGTTAAGTTCATTTTGGTATATGAATGGTTACATAATGAATAAACTTGTTTCAATTATTTTACATTAAACATGTGACAGAATTTATGACCTGAATAGGTATATATAGTATAAAATAATTTTCTATGTATTAATTTAATAAATAACACATTTCCTGAAATTAGTTTGTATGGCTCAGAACTTACTTAAAATTAACTTATATACAAAACGGTCATTGACCATCAATAAATGGTCTAATTGTTCAAACATCAATCATCAATCAACTGTACTTTATTTTATTTTGTCAATTTCCTATATTTACTCAAAAACCATATCGAAATTAAATCTAGCTAAATATAATGATAAATAAATTTAGACAATAAACATTGTCTTATGATATTTGACAATGTATTGTTACTATTATCTTGTTACTTTTTGTTAGTTGTGAAATTACCCACCATCATACCTAATTCTCATGAATTAAAAAAATTACCCATCTATTTATGTATGCAATCCCTCAGTTTGTACATATGTATTAATTAAATGCATATTTTACATGAATTACACATATACTTTGGATTTCCAGTTTTTTTTTATTTATTTATTTATGTACACCCAAAAAGGAAGACATAGTACAGAGTAATAGGAAAATCATGTACAAAGGCACATCCAGTTACCACCTTCAATTGATTTTTAATTGCAATTCTGATTAAAATTACTATTATAATGATTAATCTGATAGACCATCTTAACAGATTTAGCTATAGCTCAAAACACTACCCAATTAAATAAGATTTATTAAAATGCATTGCTTAGTTTTTATTTTATTAAATATTTTTATAATACATAGAAGTTTCTGGGTCTTAACAACTTTGTAGCCTGATTAAATTCAAAACTTGACATTTGATAGTGATAAATACCACATTCTATTATCTATTTCTATCAGTGGAGTCTCTTTTTCAGATTGAAAAGAGTACTAATATAATACAGTTGAAACTCGGTCTCATCAAACGTATGTATCTGCATCTAGATGCTTCTGCAGGCTACCTATGGCTCTGGTAGCCATAGGTAGCCTGCATATCTACAGGAACAAAATAAATTTTGAGAAGTTCACACATATTTTGTTTTAGAATACTTACGCGGCAATATAGGTGGCAGCTGTTCCGACAAGTTGAAGCTTAGTTCTGACAACACTCATGTATGACAGGAACCTATCTACGTAAGACACAGCTAGATGTAAAGTTTCACTCTGCTGTTGATATTCATCACATACTTCAACTAGCCAGTCCACAAGTATTGAGCGCATAACATGTGTGATGTCTGGTTGCTTACGCATGTAGCGGGGGTTGGCCCTGTTTTTCACCTGTTTTTACAAAGACCATTTAGGGAAATTTGTCTTTAATATTTTGACATGTATTCAGTTAGAGAAAGAAAGACTAAAGACCTAAAGGAAGTAAATAAAAACTAAATAGTTTTACCTCAATTTCCCTCATGTATTCATAGATATCCTGCCTATATTCCTCAACATAGAAAAACATTTCTCTGTCGGTCTGTGCAGTGGTGATTTCTTCATCGTCAACATCTTCAATAATTTGACTCTCATTCTTTGAAATAGACATCGACAGAATACTGGCATCCACCACAGACATGGGTGATTCAACAGCATCTTTCTTTTCTTGTAATGCTTTCCTGGTGGTTATTTAGTTTTAAATTACATTTACACTTTTTCACATTACAACCTTCTGTATTTGCTAAATAACTAAAACAGTTTATTATATTAATATTAATCTAAGTACAGGGGTGCGAGTGTTGGAACAAATGCACCATTGTGAATATTGGGTTTTGAAATATGTTGGTAAATTTCTATAAATATAACCTAAGTTGAAACAATTTTTTAAATATTAATAATATTTTTCTATTAGAACTATCTGTCATTGAATAACTAAGAAAATTAAAAACCATTTTACCGTAATGGGGGTTCTTCTCTCGATCGATCTGGTTTGGTTTCCTCAAGCGATTTTTTTTCAACTTGTGCACACAGAGCTCTCACATTTTCAGCAGCATTCACAAAGAAATTGCTTTCTTTTTTAGTCTCCTTGGTTGCAAATGGTTTGTAAGTGGTCTCCCGCTTTTTCACCTCCACCTCGGTGGGTTTGTCTTCATATACGCTAAAGGCACGAAACTGGGATAGGGGAAGAACGATGTTTTTCTCGTTCTTGATTTGACGTACCGTCCTGTTCTCATCTTGAACCTTACAAGTTCCGTTTGTCAGACCAGTCTAAAAAAATTTGATACAATTTAAGAAATAAATTATCGGTGTCTTTACTGACCAAAGCGTTACTTACTAGTTTGGTGTTCCGATTATGGTTGCATGCAAATTGACTGAGGTCTCCGAGGGCACGCCTTTGGTTGGTAGAAAATAGGTCGGATCCATCTTTTCTTAGGCCTAATGCTGTGTTTTCTTGATCTTCATGAATTCTAAAAGCCATTGCCCCCGCTTCTTTTGTAAACAAATTGCACCTGATCAGATATTTCAAGGAGTACACGTGTGCAGTTTGCAACCGAACCGGAAATATTAACTATAATTTGAATTAAATGTACATTTTTAAAGAAATAATGTGAGTAGAATTGAAAAATGTTACGGTTTTAAATAAGACCACCAGCAAACGCTAGCAAAGCGTCAACGGACAACAGACATTTTGATAAATTTTCAGCTGTTGCAGTTTACGTTAATCAATTGTCTATGTTGATTTGAATTCAACCAATCAGGTTGCGTCTCTGTACAGTAAAAAGCGGAGTTGTCTATGTTTTGTTTAAATCTCAGTTTTCAAATTTTATACATAACAATCAACGTGCAATATTATTAAAGTCCACATCAAAATGGAGAAACAAAAACTGAGGTCAGAATGATATTAACTATTTCTTTAAATTGAAAAATTCTGCCCAAAAAGTAATTAAAGAAGAAAGAATAGAGCCTAAAACTAACTTTTATTTATTCTAGGCTACGCAATGTCTTGACACTTTCTAGATCGAGTTTTTTTTATTACTTTAAAGGCACACGGCCCACCTGATGGTGAGTGGTTACAGTCGTTCATGGACGTCAGCACTGCCAGGGGCAGAGCCAAGTCACTGCCTACCGTTTAATACTCTCCAAAAGCCTCGTTTGAAGGAGGACAAGTCATAGCGGTCGGAAAACACCGTGGAGGGGAGCTTATTCCAAAGCCGGATGGTACGTGGCAAAAAAGATTTCTGGGAACGCACTGTTGATGAACGAAGTGGCTCCAGGTAATATCGATGAACTCTACTCCGATGGCGGGCGGTGCGATGGTAAAAACGAGATGAGGGTATGATCTCAAACAATTCCTTAGAGCACTCCCCATGGAACATACAGTACAAAATACAGAGGGAACCGAAGTCCCTCTGCAGACCCAGAAGTTCCAAACGATCCGTGAGAATGGGATTATCGACAATTCGAACGGCTCTTTTGTGTATGGAAGTAGCTGGTATTTGGGAGCCCCAGCACAAAGGTGGGAGCAGTACTCCACGCAAGGCCGGACTTGTGCTTTGTAAAGAAAAGCCTTGGTCCAGGCGTGAAGTACCGCTTCGCTCTGTTGAGGACTCCCAGAATTTTTGACGCCAACTTGGCTTTGTCCTCCAAATGGCTCCGAAATTGGACATCGCTCGAAATGTCGACCCCAAGTATCCCAATACTCCTCGAAGGTTTTAGGGATACTCCTTGGAATTGCGGCACCATGACAAAGGGGTCCTTCTTCGCAGTGAACGCGCAAACTTGTGTCTTCAACGGGTCGAATTGAACCAAATTCAATTCACTAAACTCGGAGACTCGCCCTAGAGAGCTCTCCACTTCAGACACAAGATTTGATCGTCTCTCTTGCACCACGCTCCGAGAGAGATTTTGCTGGCCGATATATCGCGCATCCCCCGTGCTGTCCTTCGCATAGCAATGCATGCCATTGACAGATGACATGTCATTGTTAAACAGGATGAAAAGTGCGGGGGAGGTGGAGGTGTCAGCTCAGGGGCGCACGTTTTCAAAGGCACGGCAGGGATGCAATCTGGCCCACTCGACTTATGGACGTCCAGGGCCCTGAGCTCCCGCCTGACTGCACACTGTGTAAAGCAAATCTCCAGCAAAGAGCTATCACATCGGGGAATGTTCGGTGGTATGGCAGCCCCGTCATCCATAGTCGAGTCCGAGGCGAAGAGTTTGACCAGAAGGTCAGCTTTCTCTTTCGCACTATGGGCCAGACTGTCATCGGACTTGCGAAGTGATGGGAGATTAGACCAGAGCTAGAGCTCTTCGATTTATAGTTGAATAACGCTTAGTATATTTATACAGTAAAGACTGTTTCCTTCAAAGTCTTTAAGTCAAGTTGCCAAGTCATCAGAATTATTAGATTATGATAATCAAGTGCTTCTTCAGATTTAAACGTATAATCATTGTAGCTTTTTAACCTATAGCATCTGTGGAGGTGCACAAGTGTGAGAAAATATTACAAGTTTTTCAACAGAACACAACAGTATTTCCCCAGTTTCTCAGGCTGATTTATAAAGTCCATCGAACTCTCAATATATTCCCACCATTTTTTTAATCTCATCTCATTTAATTCGAATTCATAAGGAAATAAATTTCATTTCATTCATATTACATACCATTTTACTTTTTGTTAGAATACATATAAGTTCAGCTTTTGTTGTTCAATGAAAAATGAATTAATAAAGTTACAGATTAGGGATGTTGAAAGGGCCAAATATTTCATTTCTATAATTTAACCGAATTTTGATGGACTTTGGTTAACAAAAAAAATGCATGTACGAACATTTTTACAAAAACTTTTAAAACAATCAAAATGAAAGATTATCTGAAATCGAAACATCTGAATCAATTCAATTTTCGTTTCATTGTAATAGAAGATGTCGATACTTTATTACTTTTTCGAAATTTAGAATTCCATAGAAACACTAATAATGACGCAGTCTGGTAATATCGATTTTTTCGAAATAAATTTTTGTTCGGTTGCTTCATATCCCTATTTCTGAATGATTCACAAATGAATTTAAGCTTTATAACATTAACTTAAGATATAAAATTTGCATGCGTGTAAAACATAACCTAGAACCTAATGTAATAAAATGATCAGCTGGAAACTATGGGAAAGTTTATGCAAATGTAAATAAATATAAAAGACAAAAAACTAATAAAAATGGTCAAATTAACCTTCCTGATCAGTATTTCAGTGTTGACTTGTAATTTAATTTTAAGTGTACGAGTATACAAACGTGCAGATATACTTAAACTAAGGTACCTACGCTTTTTTGGTAAATAGTATCTTTGTTTATAGTCATTGGCCCTTGATAACTGCTTAATTCCCATTTATTTCAGAGAGGAAGTACGTGAAATGTTTCAACATGCATACGACAGCTATTTAAGATATGCATATCCTTATGACGAATTACGTCCATTGAGCTGCGACGGTGTTGATACCTGGGGCAGTTACTCACTCACCCTCATTGATGCATTGGACACGCTTGCCATTATGGGAAACTATAGTGAATTTAATCGAGTAGTAGATATAGTACTACAGAAAAGACACTTTGATGCAGACATTAACGTTTCAGTGTTTGAGACGAATATTAGAATTGTTGGCGGTTTATTGAGTGCTCATTTACTGTCACATAAGTAAGTATTATTTAATATTTCATCTGCAGGATGATAGTTTATTCAATTGTTTGAAACTTTTGTGGATAACTTTTATAAACTTTTCAATAAGTTCTCGATATTTTACCATTGTTGCAAGTGCCATGATCACGGGTAGACTAGTCTCGTCCAGTTAAATAATAGCTTTAAAATTTGTATAGTAATAGCTATAAAGTTTATCAAAAATCTTTGTCAGTTGTAAATTTTTAGAACTGGGATGAAATTAGAACCAGGCTGGCCATGCAATGGTCCTTTACTTCGTTTAGCTGAAGATGTAGCACACAGACTAATAGCTGCATTTGATACAACTACTGGAATGCCTTATGGAACAATTAACTTGCGATCAGGTGTTCCACCTGGGGAAACTAGTATCACATGCACTGCTGGAGTTGGTACATTTATAATTGAGTTTGGTACTTTGAGTAGACTGACAGGAGATCCATTGTATGAAGAGGTAAGTTGAGACATCTATATATTAATATGTGAAGCAAAAACTTTGTATCCCTTTTTACGAAAATTGCGCGGACGGAGGAGTATGAAATTTTCCACACTTATAGAAAATATAGAGAAGTAGTGCACAATGCTAATATTTTTTTTAAATAATGCCTAAAAGATACATCATCAAATCAATAAAGAAAACATTACACACACTACATACCATGTATTTGATGCACACACGCATGCATACTATTTATTGTCAAACTTTTGTTCCTGACGTATGTTGTCAAATTGAAAATAGATTAAATATTGTTTGTCTTTGTTAATATTTTTTATAATATTCCAATTGATTATAGTCGAATTTCGACTACTGCGGGACCTCTAGTTATAGTAAAACCACAAAATGAATTCACTCACCAAGTTTAAATTTGTGTTGTTTAATGAATTTTTTAAACTGAAAACAACTGATTGACAACTTATGTGATTTAATTAAAAATAAGTTATGAACTAAGCTTTTGTTACAATTACTTAGTGACCTAATTTCTTGTTTCTAATCTTAATGATAATGAAATGTTGAATTTATGTCAATCTTAGTAATTTATATTATTGAATGAGATTATTATTATTGAATCATAAACATTTTACTAAATTTTACTAATAATATATGTTTACACTTTAATACTTTAAAGTTAAAGTGTTTACCATTTCAGTAAAATTATTCATACTAAATTGTTAATAAGTTTAAATTAAAAAAATATAAAAAATTGATAGCTGTTTCTTATTAGGTAGCTTATAATGCTTTGAAAGCCTTATACCATCATAGATCACCAATTGGTCTCCTTGGCAACCACATAGATGTGATGACTGGACGCTGGACAGCTCAAGATGCTGGAATTGGTGGTGGAATCGATTCTTATTATGAATATTTGGTTAAAGGTATCATACAACACTTATAATCTAACATAATAGAACTTAGGCAATAAAACATCATCAGTTATAATAAAAATAATATATGTGTGCTGTAAACGTGCCACATTATATAGATCAAACATTAATTAGAGACATTTGATTAGATCGGCACATAGGAGTCTGGGCACTTGCCATTTAATGTGCCAAAACAGTAGCCATTTTTTATTTCGAAATACCCAGCAGTTGTGAATGTCATAGTTAAATGGAGATATTTTCAGAGTAAAATATGTATAAGCCTAAACCATTATCTCCAAATACATTTAACTATTATTGTTGTAGCATTTTTTTTGAAATTGCTTGTAATTTTAATGAACTAAACACAAACAATTACAATAATTTTCAGGTGCCATACTACTAGAGAAGCCAGAGTTAATGTCCATGTTTTTAGAAGCAAGACAATCGATTGAGAAGTATCTGAAAAAAGATGATTGGTTTGTGTGGGCCACTATGTTGCGTGGGCACGTCACCTTACCTGTCTTTCAGTCTCTTGAATCATATTGGCCAGGTCTTTTAAGCCTCATAGGTACAGTAAATTACTTTCTCAACTACCTATAGTAAATTAACCTGTTTATAGTTTTCTATTTTATATTGAAACACAAGTGCATTTATGGTAATTGTTTCCTTGTTATCTTTTTTATTTAGAGTTAGTACTCTAAATAATTTAATACTCTAATGGTTTAGAGCTACTATTAGCATAGTATGGTAAAGGCATTTAATCTGTAAAATAGTCATACTTCACTGTCTGATAGTTGGGATGTCCTGTATAAAATGTATTTGAGATTTCGAATCTAATCTCAGGGTGGACGAGCCGTGAGCTAGTTTCTGTTTAGCTTAATAAAAAAAACTTTTGAATACATTACTCGTTTGAAACAATGTTGATAATAAGCTGAAACTAAAGTGTTTCTATTTAAATCATATGGGAGGAATTTTAGGGCAGCTCCCCTAATGGATCTGATGAGTCACGTTTGCGCGTTCACTGCTAAGTTTTTCATGGCGCCACAATTTTTAGGTGTCTGCAATGTTCTGAAGGTGTAAAATTTTTGAGGACTTGAATAATTTAAGCAGTGATAACAAGTTATTTGGTAGACAAAGCTAAGTAGTTTTCTAAAACGTTTGATGTCCTCTCATCTTCATATTACTTCTCGGCCTTATAACGCAATAAAATGTTAGCGTTCTTGTTCGATGTGCAATTAACCCATAGGCACAACCCACTTTTTGCCGATTCGATGCCTGCTGGGCCCCGTGAGCTCGCCCACCAGTCATGGTGAATTCCTTCAAGGAACTATTCGAAACATAACTATATATTATAACTTCAATTCAAAGCTACAAGCTGCTGGCACATAGGAAAAAAAAGAAACAAAAATTGTTCACATAAAAAATATTTTGTTCATCAGGCGAAAGTGACGCAGCGATGCGCATAATTCACAACTACCACAGCGTGTGGCGCCAATATGGATTCACACCTGAAGTGTACAACCTCGGGACGGGTGAGGCGTCTTCGTCACGCGAGAGTTATCCGCTACGACCCGAACTCATAGAGTCAATCATGTATTTATACAGAGACACCAGAGACCCTATACTGTTGCAAATGGGCGAAGATATTCTGAGGAGCATACAGCATAGTGCCAGGACACCGTGTGGGTATGCAACGGTGGGTTATTTGATTTATTTCAAATTAAGTACCTTGTTCAAGTACATTATTCATAATCAATAGTATCTAGTATTGTGGTATATAATATATCTGTCTGTACTTGTAGTATATATACTTGTGGTCGAACCCTTTGGTTAGAGCTCCGCGAGCTCACCTACTCGGTCGATTACGCTGGCATAACTTCTAAACCTACCAAGACTAAGGCTACTAAGCTTAAATTCTCGAAATGTCACTATTAAAATGCAGGATAGCCGACATTCCGCTACTGGGTTAGGACCTCTTGTGAGCCCACACGGGTAGGTACCACCACCCTGCCTATTTCCGCCGTGAAGCAGTAATGCGTTTCGCTTTGAAGGGCGGGGAAGCCGTTGTAACTATACTGAGACCTTAGAACTCATATCTCAAGGTGGGTGGCGGCATTTACGAAATGTCTATGGGCTCCGGTAAACACTTAAGACTAGGTGGGCTTTGAGCTCGTCCACCCATCTAACCTATAAAAAAAACCCGTTGATAACTGCGAACTCGTTTATCCAGTCACTTCCTCACGCTGTAAATGCTGTCATCTTCAGATAAAAGACGTTCGTGACCATCGCAAAGAAGATCGCATGGAATCATTTTTCTTAGCCGAAACCACAAAATACCTGTACTTACTGTTCGATCCGGATAATTTCATTCACAACCCTGGGGTCCGCGGTACTGTCATCGACACACCTAATGGCGAATGCGTGGTCGACCTTGGCGGATACATCTTCAATACAGAAGCACATCCGATTGACCCTAACATGCTGTATTGCTGCCATGAAGCTAGACAAGGGTGAGCTTTATATTGACTTAAATTTCATATCGGTGTGCACAACAACAGCGCCCCTAGCGGCAAACGTACTCCATACAAATTTGAGTTAACTTTTACGCTATCGAGAACGTTAAAAAACTCGCGCTAAGTACACAGATCAAAAGATAAAAAAATATTGCACTTTATTGTCGAAGGAGCTCACAGTCCACTTTGTACAAAACTGTTATCGAAGTCAATTGGTACAACTTCAACACAAGATTGGTTGAAATTTAAAAATAATAATTGAAGATTAAGGTATAAGGAAACAGCGGGTTAAACTTAGATTGAAGCCTTTTTGGTGGTAGCTCGATTAAGTCAATTGTATTAAAGAGTCAAGTAATGTTGAAAAATAGAATTTTGTTCGGAAATTAACTTTCAGAACTTCTTTGAAATGAACCGAAAATTTAAATACAGTCGTAAAGTGTATTGTGCCGGTTGAAGTTAGCTTATCACGCATGTAGTAAGGTTGCAATGTATCTAGCCATTACGAAGTAAGCACATAACTCGTCAAAATATGTGAAATGGCGCAAAATCGAAAGAAGCTTTTAAAATAAATTACGTGTTCCAAATTCAAAATAATTAACTCTTTAATTAATTCAACTTTGAAAAAAAAAAGATAAGTTTTTGTGTAACAGTATTTATGGCCAGACTAGTTATAGTGTATAAAAAACTCGTAAATCAGTTTTCAGCAAGTATTTGCAGCAGCAAGTGTACAGTATCTCATAATAAATAATAACGTACCTATGTCAAACTTATCTTTGTCTGAACTTACTCTGACATACAAAATATCATAACCAAAACCCAAATACTAAAAGTATCTTAATGTGAAACTGAATAATATCATAAAGTTTCTTTGTTATTTTCAGAATAAATATCAGCGAGGTTTACAGTATATACCAAATTTTGGAAGAAGAAGATAATATAAAATTTATGACTATGATAGAAGCGAACACCAATGAAACTAAGATCACTCAATCGAACAACAACAATAATGAGAGTGTAATAGAAAATAAAACAATTGACCACACAGAACCGAAGGAAAGATCAGATGAAAACGAGCCTGAACAAAATCAAGTATTAATAAAAACTGAATCGAGAACCGGATACGTCAACCTCGATGGAACGGAAAGGGAGAACGCAAACGAATCAAACCTCAGTGACCTTGTTAAAGAGACGATCAATAAATATTACAACGACACTATAAACGTCGAAACACAAGAAATTGTTAAACTTTCAGTCGATGAACCAACGGCAGGATCGTCGCAAACCGTTGAAGTGGACGACATAATCGTGCCAGAGAAATCGGAGGTGCAACTGCCAAGCGTCACGAAAACGAAAGAAGTCATGAACATGCTGCCTAAAGTTATACAAGACTTTTTGAACAGCGATTGGAAATCGAAGCCGAAATGCGAACCGCAGAAGATGTTAGAAAGGATACGTAGAGAACAGAAGTATCCAGATCACCCTGATGTATATAAGTACGAGTTATTATTGACCCCGGCGCCGTCGTTTCTACAAAGAATATCGTTGGCCGGAGAATTCTTAAATAAGAAGCAACTGGAGTTGTGATATTTTGTTCGACTGATTAAGTTTATAGGGGGATTTTTTTTTATTTTTATTTATTGGTATTTTCATTAAAATATTTATTCTGTTTAGTTTTTTTTTTTGTTACTTAAACTGAGCAGACAAGAGCTTGAGGATATTCTCAATATTGTTACCCAATCTGATGCATAGTTCGTGGTACCGAATTCTTTAAAATCACAGCTGCCCCTACGAGCCGCAATACTATATAGGTACTTTCACCTATAGCAATACTACAGACTTTCAAGACTGAAGTTCAACCATGAGAACTTCGACAATTTGTCACAATGATAACCTCATAATAAAAATATATCACCTCTTAGAATTTATTATTAAAAGGTACATCGAAAATATTCTTAAACTGATGGAAACATATTTGCCGTGTGAATTATTAAGCTAGTTTAAAGTTTACATTATATACTCGTATATATAATAGAAGAAAAGTAAGCGTTTTTACACGTCATATCGGATCCTTCCGATCCACTATCCGTGGTTTTAGGTAAGCTAAGCACCGATCACCGTCCTCGTCGAACCCGTCGAATGCGACGAAGGGTTCGGCGAGCAAATTAACCCGCAGACACAGCCCAGTGAGTTTCTCGTGGGATCGTCTCAGTGGGTCGCGTTTCCGATCCGATGGTAGATTCTGTGAAGCACTGCTCTTGGGCTAGCGAATTCGCCAGGTTAGTGCCCCATGAGCTCACCTACACGTTCAGAGAATCAACTATATCCTGTCGAGGTTACTAGAATAGTTGGAATAAAAAAAAACGTTTTTCGTGATCTAAATCGTGTTGTCTTTCGAGTTGCTCTTGAGTTAATTCTTTCTTGAAAATAATATCATTTTTGATGTTCCAAACACACATCTTTCTGGATATGTACGTTTTATCAAAGAGATTACGAACGCTACGCTAGTTGTAGGTAGTTAAATCAGATTCAAAAGCAAAATGACAGAAGTACAATTTTGACAATGAACTTAAGCATGTAAATTTTAAATTTTCGTATAATTCAAAAAAAAAAAACAATACAAAAATGCCGACATTTTATCCGGATATTGGCAGTGTTCCGGAGACTCAAGAGATTTCGCCCGGTGTTACGTGTGAGGGCTCCATGTTTCGCTTGATGTTTGTCTTATCATGACCGATCTGAAAACTACTCCTTCAGAAGAAAATACATTATTGACTAAAGGATATAAACTAACAAAATTTGTTGGCGAAGGTGCCTACGCGAAGGTGAGCACGTAAACGTACCTTAGGTATTAGTAGAAATTAATTTAAGTACTGTATTTTGATACAGAATTCAATTCGTTTAAAGCAGCAAATTACAATAGTTGACGACAAAGAATTAGCATGACAATTCGTGGGAAAAATATAACGCTGGTCGCGATGGTCACTACTCTATAGCTGATCTGGTTGGTCATGACTTAACGTGCTTTCTGAAAATGATTTAACAATCTATCATTTATTTTGTTGTTCGCTTACGTTACAGGTATATTTAACTGAATATTCTAGTAAAGAAGATTCACATAAATCAACGCTTGCTTGTAAAATTATTGAAACGGCAAAGGCCCCAAAGGATTTCGTTGTAAAATTTTTGCCACGCGAAATAGATGTGCTCGTGCGCTTGAATCATCCGCATCTGATTCACGTGCATAGCATATTTCAGAGGAAAACAAAATACTATATTTTCATGAGGTACACGGAAAATGGTGATTTACTGAGTTATATACTAAAAAACGGGTGCGTGTCGGAAAATCAAGCTCGCGTCTGGACACGACAACTTGCATTGGGACTACAATACTTGCACGAGTTAGAAATCGCTCACAGAGACATCAAATGCGAGAACGTATTGTTGACGGCGAATTTTAACGTGAAATTATCTGATTTTGGTTTTTCGCGTTTCTGTGTTGAAAGCGACAATCAGCCTGTCTTAAGCGAAACTTATTGCGGTTCTATGTCATACGCTGCACCAGAAATACTACGCGGAAAACCGTATTGCCCGAAGCCAACGGATTTATGGTCCTTAGGCGTCGTACTATTTGTAATGCTGAACAAATCAATGCCATTTGACGACACGCGTATGAGAAAACTTTATGAACAGCAAATGGGAAAGAAATATCGCTTTAGATCGCGCGTAGCTAGTATACTCTCGCTCGAATGTAAGACTGTTGTAAAGCATTTGTTAGAACCGGATCCAGGACTCCGACATTCCGCTACCAATGTTCTCGACTCTGAATGGATTGCTATGGATAGTAGATTAACCAGTAAGTATAGAAATATATTAAATACTAGCTGAACCGGCAGATTTCGTAGTGCCTCAATCGATAAATAAAATACCTAAACTTTTGTATAAAATAAACCTAAAATAAACAAAAGGAATCCGTCCGTCGGGGGACACATCAAAGGGAAAACAAAATTGTTATTTTTATTTGATTCCGAGCATTTTCATATTTGTCTTTCCTTCCTTTCAAACCTTCTCTGGACTTCCGTAAATAATTCAAGACCAAAATTAGCCAAATCGGTCCAGCCGTTCTCGAGTTTTAGCGAGACTAACGAACAGCAATTCATTTTTATATTTAGAGAAGATAGAAGATAGATATACATTTCTTGTCAAACGAACCTTATGACCTCTGTTCATTGACAGCTTTAAACGCTGTTGAAGCTGCTGCCTTAAAACGTGCCAAAGAAGATCGTCGAAAATTATCGGATGTCCACAAACATCCTCCAAAGAGACAAGGGGATATATTAGAAGGACCGACTCGTGAGTCCGCTTTCAGAGTGAGTACTATTTGAAAATATATATTTTTGAAATTCTGTCTTTAACTTCGTGAAACTAATGTAGCAAATTGATTTCTTAGGCCAGTGAGATGATGAAATCGCTTGCTAACGTTACATCAAAATATAAAAAACAAGAGTAGATGGAGTCTAAAGCGAAGGTAAGTTTGCATGAATAATTAATCAATGAAATTATAATCGATTATTTAATCAGATTAACTAATAATTGAGTTTATATCTAGTATCATCATATTGAAGAAGAATTAAAATTGACCTGCTCAGAACAATTGACTCTTGCTTCAAGAGGTTACAAAATCATCAAAAAAGTCAATGAAGGATCTTATGCAAAGGTAAAATTTTGATTATGAATCGCTGACAGACCTTGTAGGATTTACAATCTAAATATCAATAATGATAAAATAGGATAAGTTTCGATCAACAATAGCGATAGAATAGCGAGCTATTAGTAGAGTCGTATTCTGCATGCCGCTTACACGAGCCGCGCAAAATTATCTGTCTGACCCATACAACTAGGTATATTATTTGTGTGTGAAAGTTCAAATTTCAGTACTTAGCTTTCGCTGTCCGATTCCAAAGTATCATATCGACGCTTGAAAGGCAAACGTGACTAAGCGACAATGCGTGAACTTTACAGTAGAATAATTTCAAGTTGAATTATTTATTTATTTATTTATTTATACTTTATGCACAAAACAAAACTTGTACACAGGCGGACTTAATGCCATGGGCATTCTCTTCCAGTCGACCATAGGGTGGACCATAGGGTAATTACCCGAAAACATATAATTTACGTAAACATACAATTTATTTTAATGAATCTAGCTGTAGTAGAATCTAGCTAGTAGCTGTAGGATTGAAATGATTTTAATAGACCTAGAAATATATTTTTTTTGCGCATCGAATATAGTTATTGCTTATCATTTATGTACAAAGCAGTTATTGTCGCTTAGTCACGTTTGCCTTTCAAGCGTCGATATCTTAAATATAGAACGTATATAGTTTAATATTTTCAAAGAAGATTAATAATTCTTCTTTGAAATATCATACTTGCTTCTGCCCGTGCCTTCGCCCCCCTAAAAAGTATTATTTCTAAGATGGAAATTTTATCCAAATCCGTTCAATGAGCTCTGTTTGTTTAGTAAAAAGAAACCACGATAAACCTCAAATAAACCACATATACATACTAGGATTCCAAACTACATTGGAAACAGAGCCTGAATGTCTTTGAACTTTAAAAACGCGACAAAGAAATCCTCCATCTATGNGCCCGTGCCTTCGCCCCCCTAAAAAGTATTATTTCTAAGATGGAAATTTTATCCAAATCCGTTCAATGAGCTCTGTTTGTTTAGTAAAAAGAAACCACGATAAACCTCAAATAAACCACATATACATACTAGGATTCCAAACTACATTGGAAACAGAGCCTGAATGTCTTTGAACTTTAAAAACGCGACAAAGAAATCCTCCATCTATATTGCCCAAATCGCAGCGAAAGGGTGAATTTATTGCAATACCGATCAGAACACTACATAGTACGATCTATTTTGAGATAGTACCTACTTATGTGCAGCACTCTCGAACAGTCAACGTATAGTCATGTGAAAATCATGGAATTCCTTGATAAATTCCTGCGACTTTCCGCGTTTGTCCCTGAAGTTTATGGACAATGGCCATTGTCAACAATAGCTGTTCTTTACGTAAATGGTAATGCGTAAAATAAGCGAAGACAATTTCAGTATTATCACATTGAACACAGATGAACAACCCTTACGAAACCTTTTTAGAACAAAAATACTTTACTATTAATACTCTGCTCCTTTATTTAAAATCACGGTACTGAAACTACATATTACCGCGATCTAAAGTGGATTTCATCAAACTTTAAAATAAGACAATTCAACAGGTATACTTAGCGGAGTACAGAAATGCGAGTAAAAACGATAAGCTCTCTATATTGGCTTGCAAAGTAATCGACACCAGTACAGCACCAAGAGATTTTGTTAAAAAGTTTCTACCGAGAGAGATAGAGATGTTAATAAAACTAAGTCACCCGCATTTAGTTCACACTCACAGCATCTTCCAGAGGAGGTACAAGTATTTCATATTCATGCGTTACATGGAGCGCGGGGACTTGTTGGAGTTCGTTTTGCAGAGAGGCGCCGTGCAAGAAGACCAGGCTAGGATATGGACGCGGCAACTCGCCCTAGCGATTCAGTACATGCACGAACTCGAAATAGCTCACAGGGACATAAAGTGCGAGAACGTTCTACTGACGGCCAATCAGAATGTGAAATTATCCGATTTTGGTTTCGCTCGAATGTGTGTCGATAAGAAATTAAATGAAATACGTAGTGAAACTTTCTGCGGTTCCTTATCGTACACAGCACCCGAGATATTACAGGGGACGCCGTATTTACCGAAACCGACCGACGTTTGGTCTCTGGGAATAGTCGTTTATGTTATGTTAAACAGAGCGATGCCTTTCGAAGACAAACACATCAAGCAACTGCACCAGGCACAGATTAATAAGAACTGGAAGTTTAGATCACGCTATATCGACACCATCTCCGATAATTGTAAACGGCTGATTGGACTTATGTTAGAACCGAATCATCAGAATCGTCTCAAAATATACGATATAGTTAATAGCGAATGGATCGCGATGGATTCCCGTTTATTAGGTAAGAGAGGAAATATTTGTAACCGCTCATTTATCGTGCAAAAATAAATCACGTTCTAACTTATTGACAGAGTGGACTCCGCAAGAAACTTTGGCGTATAAGAAAGCACGTGAGGAGAAAAATAAGTTACATAAAACTGTGGAAACTGTTGAATTACCAGGATCCAGCAAGACAGAGCACAAAGTTTGTTTACCAGACGTTTCTCTTGTAGAAAATAATTTAGACGGTACAGCTTCGACGTCTTCTTATGTACGATAAGTTTCTTATTCTGTTTACCCTGTTTCGTTGTTATGTTGAAATAATACTCTGTATTTAAGATGAATGATACATAAAACCTACTTTTTTCAATATTGAGTTATGATGTAAGTGTTAAAAATCAAGCTGACAAATCAGTAATTGACAGCGAAATTTAGCACAGTGACAGAATTATACAAAAACATGAATGAAAACATATAAATAAAATGAAGATTAAACGGAAAATTAAACAGTATGTTTACGACAAATGTAAAAATGAAATTGCACAGAACAACATGACCTAAGAAAAAATGGGGGGCGGCGAAAAGATAGACCTTAGCACAACACAATCGGACATAGCCGTTTTACAGGAAAAGGGATTCATACTAGAAAAAGTTATCGGAGAAGGATCTTACGCTAAGGTAATTTAACTATTCTGTAATCAATCTTGCTATATTTGATTAGAATTCCCATAACTTGTGTTCATTTGAAGGTTTACAAAGCCACTCATATGGTAGACGAGACCCGGCATTCAATAATGGCCTGTAAAGTCATCGACACAGCTAAGGCGCCCAGGGACTATCTCACAAAGTTCTTGCCTCGCGAGCTTGATGTTCTGATACGCATCAACCACCCTCACATCGTGCACGTGTCCAACATATTTCAACGTCGCGCTAAATACTTTATTTTTTTACGATTTGCTGAAAACGGCGATCTGTTGGACTTTCTCACTCAAAACGGGGCAATACCAGAAAATCAAAGCAGACTGTGGATGCGGCAAATCATATCCGGTCTTCAATACATTCACACAATGAACATAGCTCACAGAGATCTAAAATGCGAAAACGTTTTGGTCACGGCCAATTATAATGTTAAAATAACTGATTTTGGATTTGCACGTAATGTGCGTCAACGAGATAGAGACGTTCTGAGCGAGACGTACTGTGGTTCTCTTTCGTACGCCGCTCCCGAGGTACTAAAGGGGGTGCCTTACATGCCTAAACTGGCGGATATGTGGTCGATCGGCGTTATACTATACACCATGCTCAACAAAGCTTTACCTTTCAACGAGACGTCCGTGAAAAAGCTGTACGAAAAACAGGTAATATACTTTTCAATACGTTTTTATTAACTTTAGACGTATGTATGTTTGTAACGGAATCTTTGAACATGATTTTGACCCCCTTCAAAACGTCGGATTAACTCGAATTACGAAATTATAACTCGAAAAACGATATTCATTGAAGGTCATACAGGTTTACGCTCCCACTCAGAGACACCCAGACGATGAGGTAGAAGCTTTGGATGAGGACGTCAGTATGGCCATACATAGCTCCAAGACACATTTTACTGTTGTTATGGGAGACTTTAATGCAAAGCTGGGTTGTAGAAGCAATGATGAGTTGAAAGTGGGTCAGTTTGGATATGGGCAGCGGAACTCCAGAGGACAGAGGTTGGCCGACTTTCTGGAGAAAGAAGGATTCTATATGATGAATTCTTTCTTCCAGAAGCCGCCTCACAGGAAATGGGCCTGGATGAGTCCCGACGGTGTAACCAAAAATGAGATCGATTTCATCATGAGCACCAGTAGACAGATATTCAACGATGTCTGTGATCCATAGAGTAAAAACCGGAAGCGATCACCGAATCGTAAGGGCCATATTGAGTATTAATGTCAGATTGGAAAGATCGCGTCTGATGAAGTCCGCGCTCCGACCACCAAATGCACATATTCAAAATCCCGAGAGTTTTCAACTCGAATTATCTAATCGCTTCGAAGGACTAGACAGCAAGTCATCAGTGGATGATATCTACAGCAGGCTGGTGGAAACTGTCCATGCGGTAGGGTCTAAGTATTTTAAAGCCCACCGCAAAAATAGACCTCAAAAATTATCTGACTACACCCGGAACCTCATGGCTAGCCGACGTTCTATAACACTCCAAACTTCTGAGGAAGCTGAGTCATATAGGCAGCTCAATAGACAAATCACGAAGTCCATGCGACACGACCTACGCTCCTTTAATGCACAACGTATTAAGGAGACTATTGAGCGGAACCAAGGCTCCAGAGTCTTTGCAAGAGACGTGTCTATTGGGTAGAGCCACTTGACAAATCTGAAAACTGAAGATGGACGTGTAACGTCGAATAAGGCCGAGGTGCTATGGGAGATAGAAAGATTTTATGGGCAGTTATACACCTCGATATCCAATGAGCCTGCAAGCTCGGTTACAGACCCGAGAGCCAAGTTAACCCGACACTATACCGAGGATATCCCGGACATCAGCCTGTACGAGATTAGGATGGCCCTCAAACAGCTCAAGAACAACAAGACGCCGGGCGAGGATGGAATCACCACAGAGCTTTTGAAAGCGGGCGGGACGCCGATATTGAAAGTCCTTCAGAAGCTATTTAATTCCTCCTTGCTCAAAGGGAAAACGCCGGAGGCATGGAACAGGGGTGTTGTGGTTTTGTTTTTCAAAAAAGGCGACAAATCCTTATTGAAGAACTACAGGCCCATAACACTGCTGAGCCATGTCTATAAGCTGTTCTCGAGAGTCATCACCAACCGTCTCGAACGCAGGCTCGATGACTTTCAGCCTATCGAACAAGCTGGTTTCCGAAAAGGCTTTAGCACCATAGACCACATACATACGCTGCGGCAGATTATACAAAAGACCGAAGAGTATAATCGGCCTCTATGCTTGGCGTTTGTGGACTATGAAAAGGCCTTTGATTCTGTCGAAACTTGGGCGATCCTTAGATCTCTCCAGCGATGCCGTATTGACTATCGGTATGTCGAGGTGTTGAAGTACTTATATAATAACGCCACAATGTCAGTCCGAGTACAGAAGCATTGCACGAAGGAAATCACGCTAAAAAGAGGAGTTAGACAGGGAGATGTCATATCCCCGAAACTGTTTACCGCTGCCTTAGAGGATTCCTTCAAGCTTCTGGAATGGCAAGGATTTGGCATCAATATAAACGGCGAATACATCACACACCTTCGATTTGCTGACGATATAGTAGTCATGGCTGAATCGCTGGAAGATTTGGGACAGATGCTCGGAGACCTCAATAGTTTCTCAACGAGTGGGCCTTAAAATGAATATGGATAAAACGAAAATCATGTTCAATGTCCATATTAAGCCCACCGCAGTTACTGTTGGGAACTCTACTCTTGAAGTTGTAGACGATATATACCTGGGACAGGTAGTCCGATTAGGTAAGTCCAACTTTGAGAGAAAGGTCAGTAGGCGGATCCAACTCGGCTGGGCAGCGTTCGGTAAATTAAGAAATGTGTTCTCGTCCAAAATCCCTCAGTGCCTAAAGACAAAGGTGTACAACCAATGTGTGTTGCCAGTGATGACTTACGGTTCCGAGACGTGGTGCTTCACAAGGGATCTTTTCAGGAAGCTTAGTGTCGCGCAGCGAGCTATGGAGAGGGCTATGCTTGGTATTTCTCTACGAGATCGAATCAGAAATGAGGCGATCCGTAGAAGAACCAAAGTTGCTGACATAGCCCGTAGGATTAGCAAGCTGAAGTGGCAGTGGGCTGGCCACATAGCGCGAAGATCGGACGGCCGATGGGGCAGAAGGATCCTTGAGTGGAGACCACGTACTGGCAAACGCAGTGTGGGACGGCCACCTACCAGATGGACCGACGACCTGGTGAAAATTGCTGGGTCACGTTGGATGCAGGTGGCAACGGACCGGCCGCACTGGACATCAGTTGGAGAGGCCTATGTTCAGCAGTGGACAGAAGACAGGCTGAAATGATGATGATGATGATAATAGACACAAGTTTATTAATAACTTAAATATAACTTATAATAATAACACACTAAATGAATGTAATAGCATAACATTTTTAGGATTAAATGTGGATAATCAATGTAGTGAATCTTCAGATAGATATTATTGTAGTAAAATTAATCGATTCTCATATGCACTTTGGCGACTTACAAAAATATGTAATTTAAAAACTGCATTACAGGCCTATCATGGATATGTCGCCTCAAATATCAGATACTGTATACCCCTCTGGGGAAATTCTAGTCATATAAATAGAGTGTTCATTGCACAAAAGCAATGTGTTCGTGCCATGTGCAATATTCATCCTCTGACTTCTTGTAAACCATTCTTCCAAAAACATAATATTTTAACTACACCATCCATATATATACAAGAATGTTGTTTGTTTGTTAAAAAGCACCCACAATTATATAAATCGTATGGTGAGTACTGTCAATTTAATACAAGATACCCTACTAAACTCATGTTACCAAATATAATCATATTACATGTACTCGCTCGAAGTAATTGGTAGCGATTTTCGATCTATAGCATTGTTTTTTTTATATAAATCCCTACGGTGGTAGATTTCATATCTCTTAGTTGCTAATTAAGAATGTACAGAGATAAGCGGATAATTTTACACCTTGCGTAGTCCATT